AGAATAAACGTTGTTGCCTAAAGCTCCGGGATTAGCTTGTCGAATGTATATATCTCCAACTGTGCACGTTTTTAAATTCTTCTTCTGATTCTTCACGCGCCTTTATGTGTATATGTGTATTCTGCTTCGAAGCCAGTATGTATTTGCTGCTGAAAAGCGATATTAAAGAAAACATAAAAAAATTAGAACTCACGCGTAATATCAGCCAGAGATACGGTCAGCTGAGTTTGAACGAGAGAATATAAGTATCGAGAATGAGACACAGTAAGAGGAGAAAATTCCTTTTTACATAGAATGTCAAGCTTTCGAATCTGGTATTTGATACGGCTTGCGTATGTGTAAGTACAGCTCCTGCACGATCGGAAAAATCGAGCTTGTTCACGAGATTTTTTTCTTTTCATACTTCTGCAACATTACGTACATATCCAGGCGCACTTATAGGCAAATATTCGCCCCATAGGCAAAAAATGCAAACATTTTCCCGTATAAATCATGTATCGAGGTATAGCGAGCAAGGGCTTTTAATAGCTAAAATTTCGTGCGCATCGCGATCGCCGACAGGGCAGAAAATTGATGAACGTAAAGCAGAGAGGCAAAAGGCAAGTGAAAAAAGGCGAAAAAAAATGCGTAAGTAAGAGCGAATTTTGGATAAAAGCGTCGTAAGTGAATTACGTTTACGTGCGCGCTCAGGTTATGGTCGTCGATTGAATTTTTGAGCGATGAATATTGTTCTTTTGACTACTCAGCCAAGAGCGACCTACGCAAATCGATGTGCGAGAGCATTTTGTCTGATGATACCATTGTACAATATGTGCAACTCTCCAGCTCGTTTCATTCTCTCAGCCGTGGATTTTATCTCGAATTTATTATTGCGAATTGTTCACAGAGCTAAGCTCGTATAATAGTAGCTTGTTATACTAATATATAAATGCGATGGCGGCAGAGCAGAAACTTATATCACGCATTGCACAAGATCTGGCATCTATGCGCGCGAAGGAGTGTATATAGAGTCTGAATGAGATTTTTAAAAGGCCAGCTATACGAAATCACGAATGATAATAAAATTGTCGTGTCATAATAGTGTATTTATCTTCGCTCACGATTGCGCGCAATTCCCTCAGCGAGATTAATAATGCGCGTGTACCGATTGCGATTTATAATAATAGCCTTTCCACGGTAAATATCTAATTAACGAGCTTTAAATATTGCTTGTCACGCTCTTATTATGTGCTTTTCTATAAGCTTAGAACAACCTTTTTTTACCAATTGTCACATTTATAATAGAGACTGCGATAGAATATATCGGATCAATCGCACGCACGAGTGTGTTGCAACACTCGATCAATGGCATTCATCAACTGCGTATTTTCCGCGTCCTAATTTAATCGAAACAATTCGAGATAATTCATTTTGCCGGGAGAAAAAAATTGAGCATCCACATCGAGTCTGGGTATAGATAAAGCGCACGAGGCTCGCGTTGTGCGATTTTTTGTCACGCTCGTGCGTCTATATATATAATATTACATTTTAATCTTGAGTCTGGCGAAACGAAAATAACAAGCTTATATATCGGTGTGTGTCAGTCCCGTACAGAGCGTTATCATTTTTTTTTCTTTTCCCCATTTTGTCCCCTACTCGTTGCCATGGTCGTCGTTATAAGTGATCGCAATCACGCAGCTCACGGACCCGGGGCATCGCACGCTCGATTCTATGAGCAGTATATGTATAACCTCACTCACACATACATATAAACTGACATCCTTGTGATTATTTTGTGCCTAAGGCCGTACACTGTGGCAGGAGCAGCAGCAGCAGCAACAGTGAAGCTTTCCCAAGGAGCCGTCGTTTTTCTCTCGGGCCTTAGAAAGGTTATCATTGTTATTACCCGGCGTAATTGCAGAGGCAGATCATTAGACGTTGCGTAATTAAATACGAAGAGTATTAATATAGATGGAGAAAGAGAGAAAGAGAGAGAGAGAGCGAAGGTGTAAGAGGAAGTCAGAGCTCTTAGGCTAAATTTTCTACTGCACACTCCAAAGGCATCAAATATTTATCTATACCCATACATTTACGCGACTTATACTACGTGCATTTGTCTTAGCGACGTTGTGAAACAAATGAGGCAACTAAGCTATTTGTAAAGCCTTTTTTTAACATATATTCTGGCAAATCTTTGCTCAAACCCCTTCACACATGTCTCGAATAATATTCATAATGATTCAACAAATCGATGTTCGTGTGGATTATTGGTTAATTGCTGTAGAAAGAGAGAAAGAAGTAAAATTTATACACATATGCAAAGGTAGCATAATAATATAAAGTTGATAATTACACAATTTCCCAAGAGCAATTTTTAATCCGGTCTCTCACTGCCGTTGCGATTCGCAGCACAGAGTATATTATAATTATTATTAGTTATACATTCATATACACACACTTTGCCCACGTAGCACATTCAGATTTAGTGTAAACTTTCCCAGAGAGGCTATTCTCGCCAATAGAGAGTAGTTATATACATATTATATACACAGCAGCCGAAGACTCTCGCAAACGCATATAAAAATACTGCATTTTTCCTCGGTATTCGCTGTGCTGCTACTGCGCTGGCTTATTATTATGGACACTTTGAAGCGCGCGTAACGTGCAATTACAACGCAGGATTAGGCGAGTATAATTAAATCGTCGCGAGTTGACCGGATGAAAAAGAGAGCAAAGATACATATATTACGCTACGCATACATGTGTTGGAGCACGTTCGATAGTATAGTGCGCTTTACTACTAATTTTTCATCCGCAAACGTACACTGCACAGCACTCAATATTTATCGAGTCACATCGAAATTTAAGATCTACAATTAATAATAAAACGGCTGCGAACGAGTAATTCCCTTCATTAAGTACGTATCTTTTTGCTCGAACGATTTTAAATACATGATGTAACTCAAGATTTATAAACAGGCGGATATCAAAACCGTTGCGCATCGGCTGTGAGTCTAACGTGCCACCTAGAGCCGGAAAAATTCTGCACTTTCGACTTCCGGAATTCGTAAGAAAATTCGCGCAATTACGTTTCTGACTTCATGCCCGAAATTCGCGTCGGAGTAAAGAATTTTTGTCACTTTCGGAACAAAGAGAAACAAGTTATTTGGGCTTCTTATAAGCGCAGCGTCTGCATACGCGCATAATGTCAAAACCACCGGAGAACCGTGCGCTGCAGTGCAGAAGCAGTTCTCTTGGCCAAGTCGCCCGATAACTATCGGTCCAATCGGGCGGGGATTATACATAGCCGTTACTTATTGCGGCCTCAGCCCCCAGAAGCACAAGGACTATCATTAGCGCTCTCCCGCACCTCTTTCGTCGCAGGCTCTCGCTCGCGCGTCCGAGAGAGCAAGAGAGAGAGAGAACGAGGGACCTGTTATGCGCGGTAGCGATCCGGTGGTATGCGATTCGAAGAATTTCCGAAAAAAAATACGATCCGCGCATCGTGCGGCTGTATCGGACGAGATATTTATTTCCATATACGCCCGAACGAGGACGTCTCGAGCTGCGTATCACCGCGCAAGTATACGACGAATAATAATAATCTCGAAATTATGAATTTTAACGACGGCTATAAACATTTTTATCATCGCTTGGTTCAAGATGTACGCGTGCGAGCGCAATTTTCGCAGCTCGCACGAATAGCAAGCATCAACTCATTTTGGTCAATCAAGTTTCTTGTGTCCGTGTAAGTGTCTGTGTGTGTACATAGTCGACTGGCTCGCTTTCTGCGAAGAGTCATTAATTTGATCGCGTATAAATGCAATTTTGCTGCAAATTTCTAGACGAACGAATGGCGTATGAAAAATATATGCTTATAGTGCCAACAATCATCTCGCCACTGCAAGCAAGATTTACAACGCCGTGAGCTGCGCTGCGTTTGCTTTTATACGTATATATATGCGAAATGTGCGTGTGCATATATTTCATTCGGGCATTTGCCGGAGGAGAACACGAGAATTAAGAAAGGCATTTGGGGATCCTAGAGCAGTCGCAGGATAATTTCTCCGAAAAGCATCGGTCTGCGTCGTCTTCGGCTAGGGCAAAAATTGGCCCCAATTAATTAAAAAGCTGCCTGTCAAAAGTTTTAGTGCTGCAGAGATGGGAAAAGGGAGAGAGAAAGAGAACGAGAATGAAACACTGTACCGATGTGCGGGTGCACACACGTACAAACACAAACTCGCGAGCGAATATTTGCTGCCGCTTGAGTGATTTATGCGCGGCGCTCTTCCGATCGGTCGCTACTCAGCTCCGACTGACCCATATAATCATTTTCGCGCCGACTGTGAACTTTTATTTCTTCTTCGCGAATTGCCGCAAAAGCCAGAAAGGAGCAAACAGACAACTATTTTTTTCTTTGACACTGCTTATTTACCCTATTTTTTTTATTATTATTCTCTCGTTTCGTGCGAGTTGGCGTTTGCTCGCTGCGCCGCTCCATAGCTTCACCGTGTGTGCAAAAGAAAAATGTAGGTTTTAGAATTTATGGGAACGCCAAGCAAAAGGCAAAGGAGTAAAATAGAGGGAAGGACTTTATTTCTCTCGTAAAAGTATGAATTATTAAAATTATACTGATTTTGAGACGTTTTAATTACGTAAGTACAGTAATTTTCGAGGATGTACGACTTTGTGCATCGTTTACGTGTGTCTATAGGGTTTGCGTTTACAATTTTTAAAATTTTTAGCCACTCGCTCATTAAACGAACGAATTTTGTTTTATAGCTGTCACTTTTTACGAGCGTCATCGCGAGACGCTCTAAACTAGAGTAAACATTTTATTATAGCCCTCGGGCATGGGGATAGATTCGTGAAATTTTCATTCAAAAAAGTTTCGCTGAAATTAGCGAGTTTTAAAAACACGATCCCAAACAATGAATAAATATTCACTTTGGCCAACGACATCGACGAGTTGAGGTTTGAAGCGAATAAGTGAGTAAAAAGTTGAAATTTTTTTGACGTACCTGTAGATGAACTTGTCCATTGTTGTCGACCCAACCGATGACCATGTCGACGCCCTCGGTGCTGTCTTGGTCTCTGGTGAAGCCAAAGCCAACGTAGCCCGGCGTTTTGACCTGCACCTCGAAGGTCACGTCATTCTCGCCGGGCGTCCAGAGCACGAGAAAGTTGTTGTCGAGAACTGCACTGTGCTTCCACTCGATCGCGGCGACACACTGTATAATCAGCAGCAGAAGCACTGCGAGCATCTTGCTTTTGCACGCAGACTCCATTTTTGCTAAACACAAACAGCTGAGCAAAGCTGCTTTAGCTGAACACGTTGCACACTCGGGGGAAAAGAGTTGATTTGAAGGATATGAGGTCGTGGAGAAAGAGACTGAGAGTGAGAGAGAGTTTTATTTTGGATGACGATGTTGATTCTCGTGCTTTACTGCATCTGCAACGAAAAAAGGAGACAGATGAGAATTTCGCTCGACATTTCATGCGTTTCAATTCGTTGTCTTAAATCGTTTGGGAAGTTTTTTTGGCTCGTGTGCGACGAATTTCAAAACTTAAAATAGGGGCGTACGCGGACGGGTATATTTTATCGCAAATTTTCTGCACATTTTGCAGCTGATACACAAACCGGCAAATACGATACGAGAAATACGAGAGGCGTGTACATGCAGACGCGTCGATTACGTGTCTCGGAGAGTCGCGAAATGCATGTCATCGTGCGGTCGCCGAGGATCGACGCTTTCTGTTCTGATGTATATATAAGTGTACATCGATACGAGGATCGCCACATCGGTGTTGCTGCGTGCACATGGCGCGTCGCACTCGGCGACTCGTGAGATGCAACTTTCATACGGGCAATAATAGACTACGCGAGCTGCAAGACGCGCGAGACGGTTGAGAAACTTTTGTTTATCTCTCGTGTATGGCGCGTGTACTTATGTATCGCGTGTATACCTTTCATGCGCCAATGACACGATATTTTGTATGCACGCGCGAGTCAATTTGTTATCGGTGATTCTTGCCTACGTACATAATATGCTTCTCACTTCTATTTTATGTATTACAAGCGAATTTACATTTTCATTCGATGATTGTAGTCGAGTATCCGCTCGAGTACTTGCGGAACGATGAAATATTCTGAAAACGTACACTCCGGCTCAATTTCCAATAACGTTCGTGTCGAATTTTTATTATTTAAACGTTAAAACAAACTTTAGCTTCGGCTAGGAGCAAATTTTGAGCTCAAAATATGAACCACAACTTGGCACCGTCGCTAGCGCGAAGGATATACATATGTACTCGTTAATATTTCCGAAAGTAAATCAACAAAAGTCTTTTCGATAACCGTCCATTTGTTCAGGTGACCTTTTTGGCAGTTTATACGCACCTCGGTAAAGTAACTCATTCAATTTATTCATATGAATAATATGAAAATTTACGCGAGCCCCCACGATCGATTATGCATATGAAAAACTGAAGCGCAATTTTTAATAACGCAACTTTTCGTGGCTAAAAACCGACGATATTACATTTTTAAGATCCTCGTTATTTCACTAACAATATAGTGTTAACTTTTCGAAAGTACATAAAATGAACTTTATCCGGGCGCGAGCAAACTGCTGCTGTTTTACGGAATATAAAGCCTTTTACTGCGATACTTAAGTGCATTTTCGAAGTCTTTAGTGTCACTGTTAAACAGAGCTCAATTAATTATCAAGTTTTGTGAATGCAGTTAAAACTGTGTAGATGTATTACGGTTTCAAAGCCTTTGAGCGAAAATGAATTAGCGAAATTAGCAGCCAAGTAATTGTTTAAACATGTAACGATGCACAAGCGGCGAGCTCAACCATTTTTTCTTTTTTTTAACCGGCGTATGTTTACCAAAGCAATCACAAGTGCCGTCGCGTTTTTCTCTATGCGCAGGTTTTTATTTAAAAAAATTGAATTACGAACGTTCGATTTTCATTTTCAACAAGAGCTCAATGTTCACACAGCATACCGAGGGTCATTTGCACGAAATTGAAAAATTGAAAATTCTTTTTTATCCCTTTCGTATATGTATTTTTGAAAATAAATTGCCGAATTCGCGGAGGACGGTTTTTGCGATGCTTGTGTGAATCGATGAGCATCGAATACCCTATGAAAACTCCGAAACAAATTCTACATATACAGATGCAGCGTATCCTCACGAAAACATTTCACTATATAGTTTTGAAAACTCGCACTACAGAGCCACAACAATGACGCGAGAGAGGTGGGACAACTTTTAATCACTTTGCAAATCACTGCTAACCTTTAGCAAACACAGTATCTTCGTTCCCAGCACGGAACTAACACGATATCGCAGAATAGGAGTTTGGCGAGTGCGCAGATGTATACAAATATTCATATGTACATCGCCTTGTATAACGAAGATTTTATTATTATCTCTTCGTTGCACGAATCACAAAAATCTCAAAATTTTTTTTCAAACACCACCAACACACAAGAACCAAACCAAAAAAACAAACAATCTTGAAAATATCACACGAGCTCGCGATCGCGCATGTTAATTATTCATTCACCAACTATGTATTTGCATAAGATTTTGTCGTGAGAAAAACGTCAACTCGGCTATTTGCGACCCGTGTGTACATACACGCAGTGCATAGACAGCGAGAAATGACAGAGAAGGAGACTTTGAGCCGCGTAAGTTTTAAAAAGCAGCGCGCCGAAGGACAGGACGCGCGACCGTACCTTCGCTCCGTTGTGAGGATGGCACTGAACTGGCTTGCCTGCAGCCGGGGGTAAAGCCGCACGCGAGACTCGCTCCGACGAACGCATGCGCCGCCGATTCTCCCTCCAGAATCGCGGCAGGCTCGTTCGCTCGGCCGACTTCGGAGTTCGGAGCGGTGGCAGCAGCGGTGGCGGCGGCGACCAGCAGCAGCAGCAGCAGCGACTCGAGGACGGAAATCGCTCTCTCCGCTATATCATAGAGGCCAGAGTCGCTGTTGCTGGCGGCACGTCTCGCGAATACGAGCTCGCATCCATGTTGCAGGCATACACACACGTACAACATGGGATATGGCATCGAGCGTATATAGCGACTATAGCGAGCGCGGAGAGAGAAAGAAAAAAACGAGAGGAGAGAGATGATGCGTGCGTGTGTACGTGAGTGTGTGTGTGTACTGTGTGTGGACCGTGCGAGACTCGGATGGGCTTTTTTCCTTCCAATGCTCGCGCCGAGAAAGGGGGACGGCTCGTTGGCGCACAAGTGTGTGTGTATGCGTGCTGTGCCGCGTTCACATGCACACGAGGGAGAGCGACGAGAAGCCTGGCGTGTCCTTTGATGGGGACGTGCGATTTTTCGATGGAGTGGGATGTACGCGGACGTGTGCGGCTTTTTTCGACTCGCAACCTATACATTTACGATATGTGCCTGCCTATGTCTGGCGGTGTGACTCTTCGTATACGCACGACATTCACGTATCCACCTATATGCAGCTCGCTAGTCCTGCGTAGCGAACGTACGTACGTATAGGCGAGCGAATTGCCGTACGCGCGCGACGGTACTGCATTTATGCGATGCCGTACATGAACTGCACGGCCACATATGCAGCTCGCAAACCGGCTCGTTTGGCGCGCGCACGCACCATTCGAAATATTAAACGTTATATTTATCAGCGGCGTTTAATTTTCGATATCCTTGGCTGTGGCAAAACGAGCCAATTTTCGGAGCGCCTGGATGGACAATGACGAGCGCAATTAGCGTTATATAGAAAAATTTTAAAAGTTATTTTTATTGCGAGTCTTTGTACGAGAGGGTTATTGGTACGCCGATTGTTCGTGGTAAAGTAATAGTTGAAAAATCGAAAAAAATTTCAGAGCTGATTTTTGATACATCCTATATCATATCGTTGAGAGTAATAGGTCCAAAATCGGCGGAACATTACACTCAACGTCGTTTCTCTGAAAATTTACGAAATGCATCTAATGTTAAATGCAAAAAATGCGCACTATAATGCAATATTGCACTGGCACAGGGTATATATAATATAAAAGCGCGCACCATATATAGCCCGAGCGGCGCGTATACGTTGCATCGAGATTTATGGATAAAGATTACATTTATAAATGGCGAAAACAATGCGTGACAGATCCATCGCTACCGCTATTGCTGCTGCTGATGCTGCTACTGCTGCTGCACTTCGCACTTTTGGCGCAAAAACGTATCGAAGCGTGCTAAATCGACTGTGCTGAGCGCTTTTGCGAAGATCGTTAAACGGAACTCGGCAGCTCGCTCGCTCGCTCGCTCGTTCTCTGTGTACGCTATATACGCATAATATCGCCGCGATCCACGCGTGCCACTCTTTGCCTGCATTATATATCTGTATAGAGATACGCGTATCAATCATCTTTTAGCAATCGAGAAAATTTAAAAGTCAAAATCAATTAATATTCATCACTTTCGCTTATAGAATGTGCATTATATATTGCTCCGCATATCTGGAACACACTCTCACGTACACACATATCGGACTCGATTGGATCATACGATCCACCTATATACGACTCGAACTCATGAATATAGGAAAATATTAACTGGTGAATGGGATCGATTAAATGTCCGAAAAAGCGAGCATCTCGTCGCGCGTCCGCTCCGAAACTCTGCGGCCAGATAACAATGCTCGATCTCCATTGTAAATGTATATCGGCCGAGTGTTGGCGCGAGCATTCTTTTTTACTTTATTTTTTATTTTTATTTTTTTAACACTCTTACTCGAGTATCCAAAAAAAGAGTAACCGCGCGCGCGCGTATAAAACACTCGCTCTCTCGCGCGTTGAACAAGTTATCTAAAATTACTGAAGCAGTAACAACGTGGTGAGAGGGTATTTAGGTATTCCAAATATATCTCAAACTACGTGCTCGGGTTATATGATACACGGCTTCCGACGGCCAGAGTCGTTCGCGGCACTCTGCACGAGCTCCTATACACAAACACACACAGAGGCACACACACGGGTCTGTACAGCAGTGGCTTGTGTGCACGATATCGAGCTGCGGTTCTGCGCTGCTCGACTACCGAACTTTCGGCCTAGTACTCATCTTTTTATTGAGCCAAGAGAATGTGTTTGCCTGTTTGTATGTGTATACACGAGAGAATGAAAGAGAGAGAGAGAGAAGCTCCACGCAGTGGCGACCCCTTGCGGAATATTCGCATGATTGAGCAGACCCCTTGGAATTTTGGACCTATCGACGCACGTAGCCTCGCGCCCTTTAAAGCCATCGTATATTCGATGCTGCGCAGCACGCCACCAACCTAGAACCGGTTCTTTTTATTCAGACTCCGAGCGACGGCCGTCAATAGAAATCTATACCCTGGCCATACAGCGCGGCGATTCTTTTACCTTAGCCTCTCGCTCGGTCTCCGAGCTTTCTTCCTTTTTTTCCTCCTCCTCTTCTTCTTCTTCTCTTACTCAATTTTATTTTTGGCCCAGTGTCTCCTGGATGCGCGAGGCCGGTAAACTCTATAGATATATTGTATGCTCGCGTATACTTCTTACGTGAGATCGAACTCGCACTCAAGCTAGGTGTGAAATTTTTTTCTCGCAGGATATTAATACCGACGCGCCTCGAGAAAAGGGTCGCTCCAGTTTGGAATTCTATACGCTTTTTCGCACCAACGTCGCGGCCCTGGACATAATGAAAAATATCGACGTCGAATTTCGCTTAGCAGAGACACAACCACGTTTTACATTTCGAGCGAATAATAGCTCGCCGAGTCTATCTCATTTTTTTTATTATTATCATTATTATTTTTTTTATGAATAAAGATTCTTGCCAATTAAGATTGTTATTATATATTCTGCCCCATTAGCCATTGTAATATAATATACGAATGAAAAAAGTCGGAATTATTCAGCCGGCGAATTTCCGATGATCCGGAGCCTGTCAAAAAGATATTATGAATAGTCTTCGTCCGCAAACCCGAACCGCACGACCGTCTAAACAAGTACTCACGGTGTGATGAACTTTGAGCTATTTGAAAAATCGAATGTCTTACGCCACCACGATCGTAGTTTTTCCGGCTCTCGTCCGTGACAACACGCGAGCCACGATTTCTTTCGATTATTAAAAATGAGCCATAATTCCCGGTAAACCTCGATCCGTGGCGAGACGAGCGTGAAACCTTAGATGATTTATTCGAGCGATTTTTCAAATCTCACTCATTTAAATGACTCGCACGCTACACGGTTCGGCGCTGCAAATACACGTACACTCGAGCGACAAAAGCTCTTACGACGCGCGTAAATAAAAACGCAGAGCAATCAAGCTGTATAGGCCTCGAGCGGCCGTTTGCGTCGCAATATACGCGCAGACTACGCTCGTTTCCACGAGTTTGTATACAGATGCATGTAACAGATATACATATTTCGAAAAAGGCAGTAAACACCGCGGCAGAAAATCAAGCGTCATCAAATATGCATAGCTCCGTGGCTTTTCCATTATAATAGGAAACTGCTTCGAGTATCGTGTACGGGATATAATAGCGGAGCAGAGCTGAGAAGCGAGCAAAATGCAGCGAGTGATAAAAAACGCATAAAAGCACTAATGCGCCGCTGCTACTTCTACCACTATTACTACTGCTATATATTCTCTCGGCCGATCCGTACGTATACATACACACACTCTTACATATAAACTTGTAAATCCTATTTGTCTTTTACAACTCCGACCCACTTCCTCTTGGCGCGGCTCTTAACGCCGTTCATTCCCCCTCTTCTCTCTCGCTCTGGCTAGAAATGATGAAACGACTAGGTAGTACGTACTTACACACCTAAGCAGCGGAGGCATTACACACAACTGCAAAGGTGTTGGCTCTCGCGCGCGCATCCGATCGATTCAATAACACTCGCCGGCTCGGCCTGACCGTGTATACTCGTGCTATACAAATGCATCGCGCGCGCATGCATCCCATGAGTCTTGTGGGAGGTTTTATATTCAAAGCCAGAGGTGATTGTCCCGAGGACACGTCTGACGAGTGCCATTGCTCGTCTTGGCTGTATAATGCACGCGCAATATACTCGGCCGCTCGAGAGGTGCTCGCGCGCGATAAATTTCGCCGCTATATGTATATATCCGTAGGTACGCGGGGGCGGCTGTGAAATAAGGAGGGGAGAGGGGAGCGGGCTCGCGAAGGATTAATGGATCGTGAAATTAATTGATCGATTGTGCGGAAGAATTATTGTGCGCTGCAAGGAGTATACGCGCGAGTTTGAGGAATAAAAGGAGCACGCACGCGCGCTCGCTCCAAATTACTATACGGTCGAGACTAGACGAGCTAGGCATGATAGCAGCGCGCGCAACATGTGCCAGACGCGCGGCGGCATTTTGACCCGTTCCGATCGCATCGGCCTATCCTATACAGCATAATACGTCATTTCTCATTGATGAATGAGCTTTTTACAGCTATTATCCGCTGGCCGGCTAGCTGGCTGCGTTCGCGCGGCTATATCATACGCAGGATTAAGATTTAATACGTGCTTGATCATTTCGTAATTAGCCATAGATCGATGTATCAATGGTGCGATGCGCTACGCATAAGCTCGTAAGTGTGAATTAATTTTCACCGCGCATATAAAGCCGTGAATTTTATTCCGTTGTTTTTTTTTCAAGAAATTAAATGAAAACGCGCTTGGATTAGGAAGGGTTGGCATACTGTATGCGTGCTACATACGAGTCGAGCTCCGAATGTGCCGCGAGG